CCGGGGGACTTGCGGGCGGTCTGCTTGGTACGAGCCATAGTTTAACAACGAACAACTAAACTGCAATACCAGCAACTAGCCGGGCGCCTGGCTATATATAGACAACTTCTCCCGTTCTGATTGGCTGAAGGGAATCCTGCGGCCGTTGGAAAAATTTGAATTTCCCGCGTTTTACAGCTATTGGCTATATTATGAGAGACCCGACTCGCGAATAGTATACGAAAGCAGAGAAAGGATTGTCATTCACGCGGCTGCTCATTGGATAATTTTCTACGTAGGAGAAAGAAAAGTGTAGGTTTCCTTCTGGTCGGACAATGACCTATATAAAGGCAAGAGTAAGTGGCTTAGAGTTATAGGTTTTTTTCCCGAGCAGGTGATAGATATCTGTAGAAAATGTCTGGCCGTGGTAAAGGAGGGAAGGGTCTTGGGAAGGGAGGCGCCAAGAGGCACCGCAAGGTTCTCCGCGACAACATCCAGGGCATTACCAAGCCTGCAATCCGCCGCCTGGCTCGCCGCGGAGGAGTCAAGCGTATCTCGGGCTTGATCTACGAGGAGACCCGCGGGGTGCTGAAGGTCTTCCTGGAGAACGTGATCCGCGATGCCGTGACCTACACCGAGCACGCCAAGAGGAAGACGGTGACCGCCATGGACGTGGTCTACGCCCTCAAGCGCCAGGGCCGCACTCTCTACGGCTTCGGGGGCTGAGATTTCCTACCCTCGACGAAAACACCCCCCCAAAAGGTCCTTTTAAGGGCCACCCACGTATCCACGGAAGAGCTGGTTTCCTGTTTCTCATTTTGTGAGGAAAAACAGCCTATGCTAAAAATTGCACGTTGATATTAAAACAAGGTTGAGTCGGGCAGCTCCTTTTAAGACCCAACACAATTTAGTTCTTAAAGGAGCCGCTGGCCTCAAAACTTCGGTGTTTCAGATGAACAGGGGGACGCATAAGCAATTATGAAAGGGGTATTTGTGTCTGAACAGTCGTTGCTTGTGTGCTTTTTCTACAGGAGTTCGGGAGTTATTTCATATTGAAACAAGTGAGCGTTTTTTGTTTTTTTTGAAATCCTTGTGATTTTAATGTGTCACTAGTTTAATGAGGTGGTTTTAAATATTTTCAGTGTTGACACGGGAGAAGGGTGAAAAATGGATTCAGTGGAATTAATAGGGCGGGCGTAAGTAAATGGAATCAGTACGATATTGTAAGGTTAAGGTTCAAATCCCCACTCCTCATGGAAGCCAGCTGGGTGACCTTGGGCCAGTCACAACTCACAGGGTTGTTGTGAGGATAAAAGGGAGGCGAGGAGAACGATGTACGCCGCTTTGGGTTCCCATCGGGAAGGCGGGACATAAAGTACAAAATTAAAGTAGAAGACTCTTAGGAGAAATCATCCGTAGATACGGAACTGGTGGTCATCACAGCCTAGAAATACAAGCTTTGTCTCTTTCTAGCGGAATCTCCTGGGGGACGCAGCAGGGCGCCCGACTGCTGTGGCGAAATAGCTGAAAGCTAAACAAAGGGGAACTACTGAACTCCAACGAAACGTGGTGCTTGTTGGGAAGGCCAGAGATCTTGAAACACACTGTGCTCCGCGCCTTTGAAGGCGGGTTCAGCTGTCCCTGACTGGGTTAAGATTATAGCATGGCTGCAGAAAAGTCCCAATGGATGCAGCTTTTTAACCCCCCCCCCCCCCCAACGGGGATCTCCCTGGATCCAGGTCTCGGTAACCGGAAGGGCTAGACTACCATAATGCGATCTGCATCGGTCTCCCCTTCGTAGTCAACTCGGCCTCCAGTTGGTCCGGAATGGCCCAGCTCAGTTCTTACTGGGAGGGCAGGCTCAGCACGGAAGCCCTAGTCCTGGCCGGTTGCTTATTTCATGCCCTTTGGGCTGTTACCAGTTTGCAGCATAATCCAATCTGTAACTCTGGGAAAGGCAGACTAAAAATGGAAGGTCATTTAAGCCCAGTGGCACCTTTAAAACTAACAAGTTTAACTCTGGGTGTAAGCTTTCCGCGTATAGTATACTCAGAATTAAACTTGGGTCTTAAGGTGCCACCGGACTCAAAACTGTTCTGAAAGTGGAGATAGCTCTTTTTAAGACGCTGTGGGTGGCTCTGAAAAGAGCCTTTGTTTGGGGGGGGGGTAGGCTCCGGGGTCCTCCGCGGCGGCGGCCTCACTTGGCCTTGGCCTTGTGGCTCTCGGTCTTCTTGGGCAGGAGGACGGCCTGGATGTTGGGCAGGACGCCGCCCTGGGCGATGGTCACCCTGCCCAGCAGCTTGCTCAGCTCCTCGTCGTTGCGCACGGCCAGCTGCAGGTGGCGCGGGATGATGCGCGTCTTCTTGTTGTCGCGCGCCGCGTTGCCCGCCAGCTCCAGGATCTCGGCCGTCAGGTACTCCAGCACGGCCGCCAGGTAGACCGGCGCCCCGGCGCCCACCCGCTCGGCGTAGTTGCCCTTCCGCAGCAGGCGGTGCACGCGGCCCACCGGGAACTGCAGCCCGGCCCGCGAAGAGCGCGTCTTCGCCTTCGCTCTGGCTTTCCCGCCCTGCTTCCCGCGGCCGGACATGGCGCTCGCTGGCTTCCAAACCGGCTTAGAGAGAGACAGAACGATAAGAACGAACCCGCTGCAATGGCCATCGGCGCCGCACCCCGGCCGTATTTATTTGCTCCGTGCGGATTCTAGCAGCCGAGTTCTGATTGGACAAGGACGGACTCTGAAGCTTGACATCCAATGAGAGCACGAGTGCTTGTTCCAGCCCTGTCTCCCCGGAAAGCCCCGCAGAGGCAAAGGGGGGGGGGAATGAGCCAAACTCATCGTCCAATGGGAAACGCGCTTTTCTTATCTCATTCAGGAAAAAAGAACAATGTGCTCAATTAGCAACCAATGAGGAAGCGCCAACAGTTTGGAACTCGGCTTGATGAGTTGCATCCTCTTCTTTTCTTTACCGGGGTGGGGTGGGGTCCTGCCTGCAGACCGGGGGGGGTTCCTACCTGCAGCCCAGAGGGGGAAGGTCTCATTTGCACCGGAAGGAAGCGGGGCGTGATCCGGCCTTTGTCGAGAGACCCAGTTTCTGTTTCGCAAAGTTTGCTCCCAAGGGGTTCCCGCGGATCTCCTGCACAGCCTCCCGCTGAGCCACGGCGCCGCTGCCGGAGAAGCCACGCTGAGCCGCGGAGCCGGGACGAGAGCCGGTAAGCAAGCCTGCGGGTGCCGCTTTGGGCTTCGGCGGTGGGCAGACCCCCTTCCCCGAAAGTTTCCCCGGAGGCGGAGAAGCCGGCTGGGTGGAGGATCTGCTTCTCTTAACTGCTTCCCGAGACGGTGCTTCGGAGGAAAGGCTCCTTGGCCGTGCAGATGGGAGGGAAAAGAGGCGCCCGCAGCTTCGAGGACTTCGAGTGGGAGGTCCAGCGAGTCACGAAGCGGCTTTCGGCCGAAGCCCGGGCAGAGCGGGGGCGCCGTCCCGCGGGGGGTCCTTGGCTGCCGTCGCCCATCTCCAGGCGCTACGAGGCCAACAGAGACGCGGCCGTCCGGGAGATCCTGCAAGGGCCCTCCCCGCCCTGCCCGATCCCTCTGGAAGAGCTGCGCCGACACTTCTCGGCCGTGTTTGACCGAGACGACGCCAGGGGCGGCGGCCCCCGCCCGGAGAACCTGCAGCGGCTTCCCCGCCTGAAGTCCCACGCGGTCCTGGACAAGCCGTTCAGCCAGGCCGAAGTCAGAGCGGCGCTCGGAGGGATCAAAAAGAGCACGAGCCCCGGAGAGGACGAGATCTCCTACGACCTGCTGAAGAGCTGGGACGGGGAAGGCGAGCGCCTGACGGGCATCTTCGAGAGCTGCAGGGAGTTCCGGCGCACCCCCGCCCGCTGGAAGAGAGCCAAGACCTTCCTCCTCTTCAAGGAGGGCGACCCCAACGATCCCAGCAACTGGCGGCCCATCACCCTCTGCAACACCATGTACAAACTGTACGCCAAGTGCCTGGCCCGCCGCATCTCCCAGTGGGCCCGGGCGGGGAAAGCCCTCAGCCCCCAGCAGAAGGGCCTCCAGCCCCGGGAAGGCGTCCGCCAGCACCGCTTCCTCTTGCAGTCGGTGCTGCATTTGGCCCACAGCTCCGGGAGGGAGTGCGCCATAGCCTGGCTGGACCTCGCCGACGCCTCCGGCTCCACCCCGCCCTGCCACGTCTTGGAGACGCTGGCGGAGTTCGGCATGCCCAAAGACTTCCTGGGCCTGCTCCGGGAGCTCTACGACGGCTGGACCACCACCATAAAGGGCTGGATGATGCCACGGCCGCTGCGGACTGGATCGGACTGCGCTTCAAGGCCGGGAAGTGCAAATCGCTCCATTGCAGAGATGGAACCCATCAGCCAACCACGTTCTGGGTCCAGGGCAAGGCCATATACTGCCTGGAGGAAGGGGGTACGGTCGAGTACCTGAAGATGCCCTTTGGCTTCCCAGAACAGCCGGAGGCCCTCGCCCGTGACTTTGTGGCCAATGTGGACAAGATCCAGAGATCACGGCTAATACACAGGCAGAAGGTTAACATGTTGAAGGGGATCCTGTTGCCTAAAGCTCTGTCTGTGCTGAGAGAGCGGCCGGTCCCGAATAAGGATCTCCGCTGGATCGACTCTGCAGTCGCAAGTGCTCTCTCCCGGTGGGGCCCCTACAATCAAAGAAGTGGCGAAGAGCCGCCGATAAAAGTCCAGAGGGACGTCGAAACGGTCACCCACGCATTCTTCCTGCTCTCCAGCCCCGACAGGGTCGTGAAAGCGGTGGCCTATGGCGCCCTTAAAGCCACAGTTCGTGAGAGCCATGCCTGGGATCTGACAGGGAATGACTTGGCCTTATACCTGAGTGGGGTCCAGGAAGACTGGGACCATCACCGTAGTGGAGCTTTCGCTTCCCTGTGGACCCGTGCCAGATACGCCACTCGGAGACTCGACAAACTCATCGACTGCCGATGGATCTACAGCCGCAATGAGCTGTGCTTTGAACAGCCCAGGGGTGTGATCGTGCCAAGGAAGAACTTGGGACATACTCTCAAAAATGCTGTGCTACGCGTACTGAGGGGATGTCATGGGCCAGGCAACCCAAGGATTCACGCCCTATGTGTCAGCTAGCGGCCTAGCTGCCGTAGGAGGGAGGAGGTGGCTCTGGAATTCTGATTTTCATTTCTCCTGTGTCTATCAGTACCTTGCTTATCTATGCTTTTAACCTTGAGTGCCTGCTGGTGTCTTTCTCCTGAGAATTATGGCCCCGTTACTTTGGCGGGCCTTTGCCTGATCTCTGATTGGCCCTCAGCCGTCAGGGGACACACACCCCCTCTTGGATATTGTATATCTGTCCAGTTCGCGCGCTTGGAACCAGTTCTAACACAAGCGTTAAGATGTCTGCATACTTTCATAAGTCTCAATAAACTTTACCCTCTTTGGACGAAAGCCGTTGGGAACTGATTGCTGCCGGAGTCTGGCACTGTGCACCTCCAAAAGTAGCTCTGGCGATCCTGACAATCCCTGCCGGCTCCATGAGAGACTCGGCCACACGTGATGCTGCAGGCTGCACTCGATGCTGCGGCAACAGGGCCCAGGGCACCAACGTAAGTGCCTTCCAAATGGAATCCCCGTCCTGAAAGGCTGACGTCTGCCAGCGACACGCTGTGCCTGGATTCAGACACCGGCTCAGAAGAGACCTACTACGAAAGAAGTGAAGACATGAATCATGATGTGCAACAATGCAGCTTTGTTTAATGTATACTCTTTTTAAAAAACATTGCTTTCTCTTTTAATATAAGGATTTTTCCTTTAAGGAGCATATAGATCAGTGTTCCCTCTAAACTGAGTTCGTGTGAGCTAGCTCACAGGTTTTTAGCCTCCAGCTCAGACATTTTTGTCTCTGCACAGGAAGGATGTGGCTCCAGAGCAAACTGATATGTGCAGCAGCCAAATCGCTCGCTCGCAACTTTAATGCCAGGAGCTCACAAAGTAGGATTTTTGCTCGCAAGACTCTTCAGCTTAGAGGGAGCATTGCATTAGATATATACTAGATATATGTTATCTTTGCTTTGGCAAATCGTTTAGGTTCTGGATTTAAATGATTTTTACATCCCATGATGCCCTTTTGGTATTTTAACTAAATTTCTCATTCTGTAACTAACTGTACCTAAGTGCTTGATAAACTGTTTTTCCAGTTCTGCATCCTCAGCTTTCTGAACATGTGTCTGTATCCTGCTGA